AAATGTTATGGGTTTAAATTTTGGCAAACCTTTGGTGCCGGCTAAACGACGAAGAATTTATCCTTAGATTCAGAATATAACATGATGGATAGAAACCTAAGTTGACAGTTAGAGTTACCAAGAAAAATAGGCAAGAGCAAGCTTCTTAAAAGTTGAATTTATCATATTAAATGAAAGTGAAAGTGATCCTAAAGAAGTAGGTGGTTTCACCTCTCTCTCTCAAAACTGATCATCAAGTGATCATAAATAGGTAGGTGGGTTCATCTCTCTCTCCCGAGTCTATATTGCAATTATGAATACAAATAATGTGTGATTAAGATGATTCTCGGTTATTGTAAAAACAAGCTTGGTTTCCCATGATTCAACTAAGTGTGTGTGTGAATGCATAATGCATGTGGTTTTAGAGGAGTTGTTGGAAACCAAGAATTAGAAGATTACTTGCTGAGATTGGTAATGTCTCACATTAATTAAGTGTTAGACCTCTTCTTATATATCTATGTATTACACGTCTACTACGTTACTTGATAATGTCAAGCGGCTAAGCCGAGCCGTTGAAAACTCCAGAGAACCTTGAGATTGATAATGTCAAGCCAGCTAAGCCAAGCTGTTGGAAAATTTATGGTCCATGCAAGTAGCTGTAAGCCTGTAATATCGGGGAATTTATATTTTAGTTGATATTTTTTTAAATTGGAGACGAAAAATATCGGAAAATCTAATTCGTTTTAGTGGCAGTTCTTGCCACATTCTAAATAATGCTGACTATACATAGTTAAGAGTTTGTGTCGGGTCGGACCGGACTATCTGAAGAAAAGAACGAGAACTTTAAGCTTCTTTTAAATTGTTTTATCTGAATTTCTATATTACTTGTTTGCGTATTGTGTACTTGTGTATTACTTAAGTGATGTTCGAAAGCACTGTCCTAATTTAGTATAAACAAAATAACTTAGTTGTCTCGAAACCTCATGCTTCTCTTTGATAGATAATGAAAAGGTATAGATAATATGGAAAGTTCGATAAATTGATAGATAGTGATTGTATAGGTATAGATGATGCGGTAAAAAAGAGAAAAAAAAATAGTGGGTCGGAAAGCCTCTAAAAACTGCTCCTAGTTAATTTGTTTGTTATAATAATATAGATAAAAATTTGGAGACAGGATGAGAGATTGGGCTTAGGCGTTATAAATTGCAAGAACTGTGATAGTAAAAAATTAGAAGACGCATTCGCAATAAATGTAAAAAGCACTTAGCAAATTTGTAATTTTTCAAACTTTGGGGGCAAATCCACATATATATATGTGCATATATTGCTCTCAGGCTAGTTTTGTGTGGCCTATGGTCTGGTAACGAGTTTCATTTATGTTTGTTGGAAACCAACTGTTTCTATACTTTTGTCATTAATTTTGGGCGAATTGCACTTTGTACCTTGAAAGATATAAAAATTTTTATTTTACATGCTCAATGTATTAAAAGTGTAATAATGTGATCATCTTATTAGTATCCGTTACTTATTCCTTCAATCTTAACGGGGTGGTTTTAATAGAATAAACAACAGAAGTTGGACACATTACAATAATTTTAATATATTGATGGTGCAATATAAAAAATGTAATCTTTAAAAGTACAACGTTAGAATTTTTAAATCTTTTTCATCCACTAAATAAAGCTAAAGACATTGAAAAGTCTTTGCCATATCCTCTTTTGAACATTGCAGAAAATAAAGATAAGATAATGGGTGGAAAATAGGTGCCTGTGTGAAAATGAAATCCATTGGGAATTGTTGCTACCATTAGGGCTGCTAGACTAAAACATTGTTGCGCACAACTATACTCATCTTCTAAAGTTCATCTAAAATGGTGTCAAAGCATCATCCTTCCTTGTTAATTATCTTATAGATAATATCTCTAACTTTTACCCCAATTATTTCTCTCTTCTTTTTTCTTTTACTTTTTTAGTTTATTATCATTACATTGAGAGCAGGTCTTGTTGTAATGATAAAGTTGTTTTATTATAATTTGGGTACAGTCACGTATTTGAGTCATGAAAATAGTTTATTCGCACGAAAAGAACAAGGTTGTGTATATATGACTCTATCCAAATTCTATATCTATGTGAGAGACGAAAACAACCTAATGTGTACCTCTGACTCTCTATTATATGTCTATAGATTGTATATTATGTGAAATGTGAAAACAATTTATTCGCATGAGAGACTAAATTGATGTATATCTGACTTTCTTTGAATATTCCTGTATATTCGATCGTCCATAAATAATTATAACTTGTCCATTCTATTGCATATGGCCACTGTCACTTACATTTTTCGAAGTTGTAGTCTTTTCTCATTTTCTTAGAGTTGCTCTCTTTGACTATTTAACACTGCAAGCAGAATTCTACGGCAGTCTACACCATCATTGATTTACAAAAAAAATGTCACTGTTTGTGCAAAAATGTCAAAAAAAAATGCTAATCTTGGTGACAACTTCCACAGTCACAATCTCATTACCACACTATTAAATAAAAAGATTTTTTTTTAATGCATATCGTTCAAACTATGCGGTCATTATATTCATAGTTACAACACAAAACGATCACTTAATAACCACATGTATGATTGAATTTTTTGTGACTAAAACCCGAACACAAAAAGCTCACCCCTTAATATTTTATTCGACCACAAAACCAATCAGTGCGTAGAATCATTCATGCATGCCTCTCACATAATCACAAAATCGGTAGCTGCTTTTGATCATTGAATCACAGAGAGGGATGGATGGAAAAGGCCTGTTATTGACCATACTATATACATTGCTACTTGTCTCGGAGGAGTCGCACGAAACTCGTAATTTACACAAAAACGTATAATATAGTATGATATCAGGATAGAAGGCATCGTTTCAAATACGACTTGGCCACATGGTATCTATAATCAGTGGGTAAAGACGGATCGAAAAGGCCAGTTATTGACCATACTGCACAAACTTTGTTGCTGATTTTCTTGATAGCAATGTAGTAAACGCCATTGATGATGACACCAAGGGATTGTTGCTGGTGACAGGCAACGACTTTTGCATGCAATTGAAGGAGTATTTATTTAGTCAGATATGGAATATAGTGAATAAGAAGTCAGTTGATGAGGAGGGTTGGTAGCCGCCGGTGCCGTATATTGACCAATGACCAACCAGTGAGCTCTCATCTGTTACACATACGTACGTGTGGCCTGCATGCTGTTTTCTGTTCTTGTGATAATGCAAAAAAAAAAAAATTTCGACAAGATGATAATGCAAACTTAGGGACCCACAAATGGAGAATACGAAAAAAACGGATAAAATTTATCAATATAATTTATTTACCTACGACCTATATGGGTTTACCCGAGTGACAATCCATTTTGTTTGGGTGCCGATTCGAATCGCCCTTCATCTGATCGGGAAAAAAAATGTTTACCCAAGCTATTACAGTTGATAGATTGATAGTGAACCCTTAGTTTATATTGAGATTAACAACTTATTCAATAATTGCGGTGATTTAGATCAATAAATTAAGTATAAATAGTTGTACTTAGAGAATATTCAATGCAACAGTGATCTGCATCCCTATTGCTACCAAGTAATTACAAATCTACAAGTAGGCTTAGTGAATCACACTTAATCTATTGTGGTAGTTTTGGGATGCTATAGTTATTGAAATAGTGAGATTTATTTGACCTATTGAGAGATTTATATATCATTGATTAGTAATATCATGTATTAATGCAGTGATCTCATCCGAGATGAGTAGTCAGCTAATATCTCGATATCTCAATAAACAAAAATAGCAAGAAAAATAAAAGTGTGAATTTCACGACTCATATGTAGTTCCAATTTATTGCAAGAGCGGAACAAAGAAGTCAGTGATCTAGAGGGTGAAAGTTATGACTTATGATGTAACTTAGCTTCAGTCCCACCTAGATGTGATGAGGTCTTCTACAAATAGTTATTTTGCTTTTTGACGGTTATGTTAAATGACCTATATGCATATCAATTTCTAGAAAAGAAGAAAAAAAAACTATGAGGGGCAAGCTTAAACAGCTTGGAGGGAACTATGTATGTTCACCTCCCCTCCCCCCCTTCCTTTTTCAAAATTTCTGTAGCAGCCCATAAATTTATAAAAATCTCGTTTGATTTTTCAAAGATAAATGAGTTGATGTTTAATTAAGAACTTAGGGATGTATCAATCAATGGATGAGTGACGTTGATTCATCCAACAACCACCGAATACATTGGATTTGAAGAGATGGCAAGGTACATGAAGGAACGAATTAGTGAATTGAGGAATGGAAGCTCGAAAACAAAGAGAACTAGTCTCATGACCAAAGAAAATTTAAAAATAAGTGAAATATTTTGGAATCAAATTACAAATGTGGCTAATATTTGACATGATTCTAAAACATCTATGATCTAATATGACACCATTTGAAATGAGTGGGTTTTGGTCTTTCTTAAATCACTCTTTTATAAATAGTAAATCAGATCTGACCCGACATGATTAATAAACGAATCAATTATGAGAGAAGTCAATCAAAAAAATTACATAACATAATTCGTTTATATATCAGTTATACACAATTCATATACGATACGAACATGAAGGGTTAATATTTGTCATACACAAATTAACAAAAAAATTGAAAATGAGTAAAATATTTTTTAACATAATCCCACTGATACGAAGTTATCTCAGTCGACATGATTGACAGACTTAATCACGAGCCTGAACCCCACTTTGACAATGGCTAGTCTGCAATCCATATACTTTCAAGATATTGGGCTTTATGACAAAGTTTTGGGCCATGTAACTGGATGATATACTTTTTGGATGTTGTAACGAAGGCCCACAACGTTGTCCGAATGGAATAAAATAAAAAATAAAGAACTTTGTAACGGCTACTTACAGACAATGAGTTGTTTAAAAATCATACTCATCGAGTCTCTCTGCAAACTACTAACCAGTACGAGATCACAAAGAAACGCCACTCTCTCTTCCACACACCCACCCACTTCGCGGCGCTCCTCCACCGCCGAACCTCCTCAAAACACCACCGCCGGCCCCTTTTCTCTCTACTCTTCTCACCCAAGTCGGAAAAAATGGAGGACGAACCCCAAATTTCGAAGCAGATCAAAGACAAAGAAGAAGACTCGGACGAGGAGTTCTACGAGAAGATTGAAGCGCCCAAGTTCGTCGACTTTAGGGCTCCCAACTCGTATCGTCCCGACGATCGTTACTGGTTCTGCTTGCGCGTCGGTCAGTGTTCTTCTCTACCCCCCCCCCCCCCCTTTTTCATTTTTATTCTCCAATCTTGACAATCGTTATGGCTTGATTGTGTTTTGGCATTGTGATTCGATTGTTTCTCATCATATTTCGGATTGTATATTGATTCGGGATAACAGAGATTTGATCTGAATGTATGGGAATTTGTGCATTTTTTAATGAGATCACACATTGTTTCTATGTGTTTCCTCCCCCTTTGTTAGGGTTTTGCCATTTTGATAAGAGAAACTCCTGTTTCGCTGCTGAGAAAATGGAGGAAAGAAAAGGGGGAACTTGTTAGATGCTTTTGTCATTTGGGAACACAAAGACAAGGAAGTTAATTGAGCTAAATAACTATGAATGATAATGTAACTTCGGATCTGTATTGTATAATATTATCTATTTTGAGCTAACATCGCATGACTTTAGAACACAAAGTACAATAAAGGTTTAAAGCTCATAGTTATGTACCACTCCACACATGCTTCACCCGATAATGGGTTATTGGGGTCGTCACGTACACAAAAACATAGCATATGCCCAAGCCTGAATATGATTTTGTAACTGTAATCAGAAAGCCTGAGATATGTTTCTTCCCTTTGCTTTTAACTCTCATTTGGTATCTTAAACTTGATTTGTATTTCAAATTACTACTTGTTACTCTAAAATCTGTTGAGATTGACGAAAAGATCTCAATCGACAAACAATTTTCATGCGATTGTTTATGAGAGGTTTCAAATGCTTTATTTCAAGACTTTCTTGGATGAAAACAATGAATAAACACAATGTAGGGAACTAATAAAAGAACAAATTCTTTATTAATCCAATCGAAGGACAACCTTGAATATAGTAGTAACTAATTTTTAAAACTAACTTAAAACGACTTTTAAATATATCTAAATCGTGGGTCTTATACGGGTGTATCTTATATTCTCCACTATATGCCCTTTTATAATCATTGTCCTCGAAGGTTTTGCTTTCATCAACGGTTATTGAATAATAACCTCTAGTTAGTTATTTTTTTTTAAATATGGATGTGATAGATCATTTCTCATCTTTCTTCAGTTTCTACGACGTGACATCTTCTTAGTGCATCTATATTACCAAATGTCGATACATTGAATATTCATAAGATTTATTTATTTTATGTTGATCAAAGTCAGCTTTTTTGTTTTTAGTTTTTTGGAGTCTGCCCCTAATCTTTTACAAGATTGCAATTACATGATCTTTTAATAAACCTTCTCTCTCTTCTTAATTCTGTATCAGGTTGTGATCAAAAGCATGAAGAAGAAATGGACTCGGAAGCAATCTACAAGAATTTCATTCTTCGGGTTAGTCATGATACGAGATTTCTTCTTTCAATTGGTTTACTTTCAGTGTCAATTGGAACTCTTGACACCATTGATTTATGCAGGTAATGGCAGCAAGAAGTCCCAATATAAGACTTCGAAAAGCACTAAATAGAAAAGCTTCAGGGTATGTATGTACAGAGAGACTTCGTAGATCAACACGTTCATGTAATTGGGTTTTCTCTGAAACCTGTTAAATTTATCTTGCAGTTCGAACATAAAATGTCCTCTTTCTGCGCCCCCGAAATCTTCCAAGTCTAGAGTATCGAAATTGGCAGTGGTTTCATCGCTTTCTCAGAAGATGGGTGATGACAAAGCCAATGTTATGCCTCTTACAAAGCTGAGTGCTACCCCAAAGGCCAAGTCAAAGCAAGTTGCTGCCAAGTACTTGACTACTCCAAGGAACAAAAAGTGTCCACCAAATCCAAACTCCTTTAAAAGTGTTCAGAACCCAAAACCAACAACAACAATAGCAGTACCAAAAAGCCGTATAGTTGCAAAGGCTCTAGTCTTTCACTCTCCTAAGAAAGCCATCATCGTGAAAACTTCAGTAGAATTGCGTACTCCATTAACGAAGATTTGTGAAGGAATGAAGAGGCTCGAGATAACGAGTCAAAGAAAGCGTATCTTGGGGTATGCTAACAAATCATCGAAGGACGTTAAATGCAATCCTAAGAAGGCATTGGCTGTAGATAATTCAAGAAATGGTACAATTGCTTGCAAGGACAAAAGCAGGGCTAAAGATTTGTTACACCCTCGGAATTTTAAAGACCAAGAAGTCAAATCTTCGAGATCTATGAAGAGTAAGAGCAGACGGAACGTAAACAAACAGTGTTGCCGCCCTACATCTAAGGAAGTGATTGAAAACGACAACAGTGGTATAAAAATTGATGTAAAAATGAGGGAGAATGAAGAGCATCTGATAGCTGAGGATTCATCAGGAAATTTCGGTTCAACAAGTTCCTCTACTCAAGAAGAAGCCATTCTATCCTCAGAGCCCGAGGTGCCACCATCAACTAAGAGTACACAGGTGGGATTGTCAGATGCCCTGAGATGTGGAATGAATTCCCCATCAAACAATGAAGAAAGGGATTTGGAAATAAATGATTTTCCGAATATTCTTGCTCTAAATGGAGAGGGAGATGATGGAAATGATAGAATTGCACAGGAAGGTAGCATAAAATCAAGCTCAAAGAAAGAGGAAAGACCTATAGATCAGCCAACTGAACATCAAACTTCAGAAGGTGAAGACCACGAGGGTGAAACAATGGACAGTGATGATAAAGAAAATGCTTTGGCTTCTGATGGCTACAGGTATGATGCCAGTCAATCTTACATATTGTATTCCCGTGACTACGCTTCTTATTATCAGATCTTTATATCAGCACAACTTTTTTGCCCTTCCTGAGACTTTTTTTCTGCCTCGGCTCACTTATTTGCTGGTCACGAAAGCTCCTCTTTGTGGGAGAACTATTACTTCTCTTTGTAATTGTTTTCCTTATTTTGCAGAGATCTTAACCATAAAAACCAGCCGTATGGAAGAAAAATCTTTGGCAGGCAGGAGACACATGAAAACAGGAAAAAGGTTCCTTCCATTTTTGCCTCTTGTTTCAGAGTTGCTGCAATATACATATAGTTGCTTGCCTATACAGTATCTGATAGCCATATATTATTGAAATTGATGTAGGTTACTCAAACACTTGATAAGAATTTAAAAGATGGGCTCCCTTCTGCTGCTACTGGTGCTTTTGGGATAAAGTACAGAAAACCAAAGCCTACAAGCCCCAAGCCTTTTAGGCTAAGAACTCAAGTAAGCATGGTTTTTTTTCACATTAACTTGCATATTAGAAACAGTATAATTGGAGTTGTATCTGATAGAATCTAGGATTTTTCAGGAAAGAGGGATTCTAAAGGAAACCAACCTGGAGAGAAAAATCCATTTTCTAGCTCCTCAGAAGGAATCAGCAACAGTTACAAGGTTCAAATGTGAGAACTCACACAAAAGGCCTGATAATGGTATCCAAGTGAGTATAACTAGTATTTAACATTAGATTTTGAGAAAATTTCATATCCTCGTCTGATTTATTGCTTTTGCTGACGGAGAAATGACCAATGCTCTGAACAGAGTAACCGCAACAGTGATTTGCTTGAAGGCAGAGAAAAAGAATCAGAAAAGAATTTCCAAAAGAGTGAACTTGTAGGTTTTCCGTAAATTAACTCTTTTCCTAAAGGTCCCATCTGTTCATATTAATCGAAGGTTCAAAATATTAATTCTTATAATTTGCAGAAACAGAGTAAAACAGCAAGCATTTGTTCACGAGGGCAAGTGAGACCCAAAGCAGCCACATTAACCCCACAAAGGCGTTTGAAATCAACAAACCAAGAACCCAAATGTATGATCACCCCACCTGGATATGATAAGGTTTGTGTAAGCCAAAAATCAGAGAATAGCTCAAGAAAGACAGAATCACCTTCTCTGCAGCGACAACTTGTTAGGCAACAAGGGTGAGTACTACTCCTGCTCGTTAATTACCTTGTCTGTGACTAATGAAGAATGTTCTTTCGAGATTAACTGTATGTAGATTCATTTATTGCAGTTCCACTAGGAAGGAAACATCTTCTTGCATAACACCATGTCAGAAACTTGGTGTAATAAGGGAAACATCATCAAAACTCTCAAGAGCCAATGAAGCAGAAAAACTGGGGGAGAGTGAAACCACCACAGCAACCAAAGGTACAGCTTCTGCTTCAAGATCATCATCACGGGGAAGACGACCTGTGACCATTCCTAAGGGACCAAATTTTCACGGTACCCATGTGCCAAAGAGCTGCATAGGGAAAATAGTGTAGGTGAATTGTTTTCATACTTGCCCAGTTTGGAGTGTATTGTTTTCATACTTTCCCAGTTTGGAGTGTAATACCCTTCTTGTTCAATTGTGTATTGAATTATGTATGCTAATGAGGAGCTCTTTTGATTTTGATTTTGACTTTTTATGTTCAAATGATCAACGTTTGCAGAGGGGTACTTGTATGTACTATAGATTCAGTATCAGATTGACTTGTATGTTCTATAAATTTGTATCAGATTGACTAGTATGTACTATAGATTCAGTAATTCTGTTTCAGGAAACTGTTGCAACACCTATTACGTTGCTTCCCTAGTAGGCTAATCCATGGTAGCATGACCCAATTTTCATCTTTCTTGCCCAAGGATGGAAGGAGGAGAAATAGATGCAAGTAGTAGAGAAAGTCGAGGTCCTTACTTGAGTTTTCTGCCTAACAGGAGCAACAAGCAACAAGCATCAAGCAACGAGCAACTTCTCTCCCAAGGGAGAGAAACCATAAAACAGAAAATAAAAATAAAAAAAGCTATAAAATAAGGTAATTCAATTAGCTCAACTCACCTTTGTCACCGTGCAAGACAAAACACCTGAGATTCACAAGTCTATCACGCAATTTGCTCATCTTTTGTCGTGGTCAATACAAGAACTACACAGCTTCTTATCTGAACCCTTGCTAGGAAACAAGCTAACCATAGACCATACTATATGCTTTTCCTGCAATATACTTTTAAGTCTGGCAGCCCAAAATGATTATTAAAAGCCTCATCCAAGGGATGCATTCACCCATCCACTGAAAATGATACAATTGAAGCAAGCAGAGTAATTCATGGTTTTAACACATTCAACAATGGCCACAGAGATCTCATTTCTCTAAGAAAGTTCAAAATTATTGAGTCAAATTCCATGAGACATCAAAACTGCATCAAAAATAACCCTGCACTATGTGATCATTGTCTCTGCTCCCACGCGGGAAAATTTGTGCCATGAAATGCACTTAATTATATGAGGGCTAATTTCTGTTGATAATATTTTTCATCTTCTCATTTGCAGCTACAAGTTCTGCTCCTATTCCTGGCTCGTTAGCAGAATGTCCTGCATCTGGAACCACCTGTTCCACAGCAGAATTATAATGATAAATCAGCAAGTCCTAGGCATTGATATATTAGGCAACACAAGTTATTTAAGTATTTCCCTTACCTTAAAATCCGCCTGTGGCCAAGCTTTATGAAGATCCCATGCTGACATCATGGGGCAGCAAACGTCATATCTTCCCTGCAATAATTCAAGGCAGTTACCATTCAAAATCAGATATCAAACCTGAACTGTTCAGAAAGTTTTAGGAACATGCAGCTGCATACATGACGGTAGCACATATGATATGAATTTTAATTCGAGTGGGATGACAAATCCTAACAGAACAGTTAAAAAGTAGAACATGCAACAACACATATATGGTTGTGTGAGAATTATAATCAAAATACTGGCATATGCTGCAGCCCAATCTTTTTTACCATTGCACTGTGCAACAGTCCACTCAAACATTTTTGCAACTATTCGACATGATTAATACAAAAAACAAGTGGTACTAAAGGACATATATGAATATATCTTCTTTATCTCCACCAACCCACAAATCGACGGCATTCCATTATTTCTGTAAAAGAATGTTGTTCCCAATAAATGCAGGTCAGCTGCCAATCGAGTTAATCAAATGGAGAGGTGCCAAAAGTCGAAGGAAAAATTCCAAATAATCATAACATCTATACATTAATCCAAAAATACATCTTTACAAACCATATGTTTGTAAAGCGCTAGTCAGTAATATAGTGGAGACAGGCACAACAGTTACCTGTACAATTACAGCATTTATATGCCTGATCTTTTCAATGTTATCTAACAGGTATGAATCCGAAGGAAAGAATCCCTTGTTTACAAAGTAGTGGTTCTCAATCCTCGCAAATGCCTGGATGGAGCAAAATAGCTATATGTCATGGCAAGAAGCTAAGATCAATCATCTCAAACAATCGGAAAAAATCAAAGCTAGAAGACACTACAAACATCTGCCTGATTGTAAATTGAAGGTGGTTCAAAACTTCAAGGTAAACTCAATGTACAGATAGCCATGTCAACTTCACATCTAGCAAAGGAAATACAAGGAACTAAGACCAGTTGCATGCTCTTTATTTGATTTGTCTATATATTGTGTATATTCAGCACCATCTTGTGTATTAAGACCAGTTGCATGCATCCTCTTTGTACATTACCATCTGAAAGTGCACAAATGAGCTCAAACTTTTCCATCTACACTCGAGAAGGAGTGGTATGGATGTTTGACTGTGGTGTACCTGGAACCTTTGAATCAAGCAACTTTCCCAACATAGACAATCCATCTTACATGGCATCAAGAAACAATATTACTTTGCCTACGGCCCAATCAGGAGAAAAAGGCTATTTGAAGGACAATAAGGAAACGTACAGCAACTAACCTCTTGGAAACCTATTCACCACAGAAAGTAAGGGGATAAAATTGTTTTAAAAATCTAACAAATTTAGAAAGAAGATTTAACATAAAGGGCCCCACCAAATAAGAAATTAATAGCTTCTTTTGCATGGAAATGCTTTTCAGGACTGATAATCCCCCAATGCTCAAATTCTAATGATTGGATCTTTTCCAACATAGACCAATGTTTCATACTCAAATATTTTAATAAAGTTTGAATGCCATGAACAATTTTTCAGCCTTCACATTAAGAAAGATGTATAAGACCCCATCAACTGTCTCACTGTTTTTTAATTACAATCTATCAAGTATACATGCATCTAGGTAATGTCCTAGGTTATATACAAAGGTCTAGCAAACTTCATGGAAATAACAGTTCTCGAATTCCAACCTCACTATAATTACAATGCAACCATATCATCAATTATCAGAGTAACTAACCAGAGAAAAGTTGTCATCATCCCCTCTCTTTATGGTCTCCTCACTTGGAAGAAGATGAGCAGTCATCATTTCCCATTTGGTCCATGCCCTGGCAGCCGCAAACTAACAAAAAATAATGCATTTAGAAAACACCTCAACTTGAGGCAAGATGATGAAAACGCAAATTCATGATCAATGAAGCCAAAAGCTGTGTTAGAGTAGTTTAGGCCTTTCCTTTCTTTAAAGAGTACTACAGTGCTGTAATTCATGTTTAGGACTCAAACTTGCTTTGATACCATGAAAATATTGATAAAACAAAAAATAAGAGAGAATATATTACAGCTTCATTGATTTATCAAAACAAAATAAGCTAAACTGACTCCGACATCTCTTTCTCTCTTCCTTATTCTTTGTTTGATCAATATTTTCAACCATATTATTGTTTCTTCCAATATCAGACTCATCGGTTTAGTAGCATTTGGGGTATTTATAAGTAGATACAACCAATGATCTGAGTTGTGGAAAAAACTTCAACTCATAGAAAGACGAAGAACATGCAATTCATAATCAATGAAGCCAAAAGGACAATGTGCGTGAGGATATTATTGTTTCTTTCGAGATTACACCCATCATTTTAATGGCATTTGGGAAATGTAAAAGTAGACAGCCCTTAATCCAAGAAAATTCTTACCAACAATGTTTACAGATGATAAGTTGGCTATATTGTAGATTACAAGCACTGTCATTTCCTGTTGAAGTCAAGCAGCTTCTTATGCTTTAATTATTACTTTCTAAAAAGGCCTGGGTACACACATCTCATTCAATCACATACCAAATTAATCCAACAAAGTGACTCCAAAAACAATGATTCAGCCTACATCGGTAATACACATCTCTTGAACTCCGTTTTCCATTCAAATATATCTTTTCACTAGTAAAATTTAATCTGTACAGATGCAAGACGAAAAAACCAATCGATGAACATGCATCAAGACAATTATGCATTTATCAATTTATAAGACATGAGGAGAATCAAAATAATTGAACTACGAATTAATTTAAAACGTAAACAATACTCATTAAATGCAAAACATTGTGAACCAGGCATGAACTATCTTCATTTACCTGTATGCGGTTTCATACATAGAAAGTTGCTTTTGCAGCCAACATGAGTGTAGGGAATCACAATTTCAATCACCAAAAGGAGCTCATAAAAGAAAAACATGCATCGAGGGCACAAATCTTACTTGTGTTTCATTGTCATCGGAGTTTAATCTCTTATGGTAGGCCTCGATAAAACATCCTCTTTCATTCTCTGGAATAAGATCCTTAAATAGCTCCCAAGCTGCAAATGGAGAAGAAATGTGCAATCTTTAGCCACCTTAAAAATCCTCGGGCTGTCCAATTAGCACAAAGGCAGCATATCAAATCGATAAATTAGAGGAACAAAAAACTATCCCAAGAACAACTGTCATATTCCCCACCCAGTAGGTATGTTAGTGAGCAATTTGAAGTTTCTTCATTCATGTGGCTTTTAAACAATGAATATACGTAGTTTCACTGCCGTCATGCAAAAGGCAGTTAAAACTCGCCAAATACAGTGTAGTAGTGTAAAAACCACAGGAAAAAGATAAGAACATTTTCAAATGTATCACATATTAATGTCATAAAAAGAGGTAAGACAATCACAATGAATGCAAAGAGTTTGCTACACATAACAAATCAGTTTTTAAATATTTGGTAAGATTGCATTAACATGTTCTCACAACATGTGCTGAGACATTATTGTCATTCTATCATCTAAAAACTTTCCCAAGACATGTTCAGAAGAATGTTCAATGGCTTGAGTTACCCACATACAATAAACTCTACCAGGTGAGGCTTGTATGAATAATACAACCAGTTTATCCTAAAGCTTACCATCAGGGAATATGGCTGCAGCACCACCCTCATAAAACCAATCAATCTCTTTCTTCCGCAACAAAAAGATCCCTCTAAGCACAATTCCAGTAACCTTAAAATAACATCAGAAAACACATTTTCAACAATTGATGCCAATGGAAAGGTTTCTTACGCTAAAACCATAGGTTCTCCAATGGAAGGGCTTGAAGAAAAGGCAAAGGGGCAAAGTAAACAAAGAAGCACACCTTATCAGGATGTGATTGGCTGTATGCAAGAGCAAGTGTGCTTCCCCATGACCCACCAAACACCTGCATAATGAAGCTGATGAAAGCCAAATATAGAAACGTCCGCCATACCAGTCAAATATACAAAATTTCAACCTGCCATTCTGGAATTTCTAGGTGTCCTCTTAGCTTTTCAATGTCTTCAATTAGATCCCATGTTGTGTTCTCCAGCAAGCAAGCATGGGGTGTACTCTTACCAGCACCTCGCTGCAAAAAGACAATGTTTGTGTGAACACAATTTCAGCAGCTAATATTTTAGTCTTAAGCAAAATGGTTCGGATACAAAACCTGATCAAATAAAATGATCCGATAAAATTCAGGATCAAAGAATCTCCGATTACTTGGTGATGTTCCACCACCTGGACCCCCATGGAGAAAAACAACTGGCTGCATAGTTTAAAAAGATCTTCAAAAGCTGCATAGTTAGGCAAGACACGCATTCAAATAGTTCCTAATAAAATGCCTCGTGAATCTATACTACTAATAAAAGTACCTTAAGTGAAAAACTTTTGATTTACTATTTTACCCTTATAAAGAATTTTAAATACCACATTATCTTTTTATAGTTAAATATCTAAATTACAATCACAATCTTATGTATTTAAATCTTTAAATTACTCTTTAACATCTCTTTTAATTATCTATTATCTTTGTATAAATATCAATATCTTTGTATAAATATCAATATCTATGAAAATTTTTAATTCACTATGCAACCTTTAAAAAATATATATATCATTATAGTTTTCAATAACGTGTTCAAAAAGTCTATTAATAGATCATTACTTTTTTTAAATAAAAAAATAACATTATGTCTATATATATGTATGTTTTTTCTATCTATACTACTAATAAAAGTATTTAAAATGAAAAACTTTTGATTTACTATTTTACTCTTATAAAGAATTTTAAATACCACATTATCTTTTCATAGTTAAATATCTAAATTACAATCACAACCTTATATATTTAAATTTTTAAATTCCCCTCTAACATCTATTTTAATTCTCTATTATCTTTGTATAAATATCAATATCTATGAAAAATTTTAATTCACTACGCAACCCTTAAAAAAATATATGCATCATTATAATTTTCAATAACGTGTTCAAAAAGTCTATCAACAGCTCATTACTTTTTTCAAATAAAAAAATAATTTTATGTCTATATATGTATTTTTTTTCTATTTATACTACTAATAAAAGTATCTTAGAATGAAAAATTTTTGATTCACTATTTTACTCTTATAAAGAATTTTAAATACCACACTATCCATCCGTAGTTAAATATCTAAATTACTATCATATACTTATGTGTTTAAATCTCCAAATTACCTAAAATATCTCTTTTAGATCTTTATTCACCATATATAAATATCAATATCTATGAAATTTTTTAATTAACTACGTTACTTTTAAAAAATATATGCATCACTATAATTTTCAATAAAGTATTTAAAAAATCTTGAAAACTTTCATCAATCTAACATTACTCATTTTCAAATAGAAAAATAACATTATACTTATATATGTATATTTTTTTTTATCTAAAATTTTAACCATTTCATTTTTAAGATAAAAAAAATTCTTTTATGTAGTTTTTTAAAAAATAATTTATGTTAAATTAACATAATTCTTCAATCAAAGTAAAATTTCATGTTTTATTAAGTGTTTATATAAAAAAAAATTATAGTATATTTTTAACTAAAACTTGAATTTTAGAATTTTAATATTCTTTTAAAATATATATTATAGAGTAGTGTATTATATTTTAGGGTTAATAGAACTTTTAGTCTCTGAAATATACATATTTTATCAGTTTGTTCTTCATTGTATCAATTTTGTCAATTTTGTCTATAAAATTAATAGTTTAAATGATCTTTACACCAACAATTTGTTAAGTTTTTGACAGAAGTGATCACGTGTTGGTCACGTGATACTAAATGATGGAATGACATGTGGTCATTTTCATAAAAAAACTAAATAGATCGTCTGATTAGGGACCATTTAAACAAGAATTGAATATTTTATGGACCAAATTGATAAAATTCATATATTAAGGATGAAATTGATAAAAAAAAAACGCATATTTTAGAAACTCAAAGTGTTATTAACCCTATATTTTATCCCTATTGACCTAAAAATATGGACAATTATTGTTATTTTATTCAAATTGAAACCTAATCAAACAAATTTCAAATGAATTATTTTTATCTTTTTTCTTATAATTAGAACAACAAATTGCTGGGAAAAGAAAATATTTTTTGAATTTTATAGTATAATACGAGCGATAAAAATATGATTTTTGATAAACTTGATATGATATTTAATGTAGATACACATATACCTTTTATTAATATTGTGCCTATGAAAATTATTCGCGTACAAAACACGTGTTGCGTTGCTAGTACAATGAGGTGTATGCTATAAAACCAAAGCAACACAAGCTCATTATCAATAAAATAATTCCTATAATTGGCAAATAATGAGACAATTCATACAATTGATATATTTCAAAGGTTTCTACGTTTTAGAATTGAGTAAAAAGTTCAAGTAAAAAATATCTACTGTGGCCAAAAGAACCAAGTAAAACATCTACAAAACACAAATGCACTCCCAAGGCACTGGAAGTAAAGATGAAAAGCCCACCACATTTTAAGCAGGACCCTTCCCTTCCCCATGATACCCATCTATGCAGCACAACAGAGTAAAATTAGTTTTCCACAACCATACTTTGTTTTCATCATTCAAAAGACAAAGTCTCACCTACCGATTTCAATAATTCAGCCAACGAATTATTGAAGAATCTTCTGCCGATAGAAAGAGGTTGAGTTGATGACAGGGATGCTCTGAAGTCTAGTTTGGCAAACCAGATGCTGTCTGCCCCTTATTACTATAGATTGGTCAGGGGGCAGCTGCATCGTGCAGGTTGAGTGGATGGCCAGAAAATGGCACAGGCATTGTGTAGTTTAAACATCTAATCACCCAAGTATTAAAGAAACATGGTCGATCTCCAAAATCAGAAAATGCACTCTCTTAGCATGAATCTTAGGAGGAAAAAGAGAACCCAGATATGACAAACAAAATGGTTGAACTCATAAACAACATAACGCGCAAAATGAAATGAAATAAATTCGGTTTCCACAGCACACTCAATACATTCAAATGCTTAACTACACTACTATGAGAACAGTAGCAAATACACACCAACCATGACTATTATTACTTGCTCTCGAACAAGACAAAATGAATTACTTGTATAAAGTGAATGATAAAATAAAGAACAATTCACATATTAAATGGTGGTCTCTAACAAGAAATATATTTTAAGAAGCAGGGTAATGACTACTCACATGCCCATTTGGATTTCCTGATTGCTCCCAATAGATTGTGTGAAGATCGGAAACCTTCAAAAACCCTGTACTATATGGTTCTATATCCGGATAAAGGTTTCTCTTCAATTCTGGAAATTCTTTCCTTAAATCCATATATGCTGCACTTAGCTGCTGCTCACTTTTATAATCAAGATTCTGAGCGCGTAAAATAATTTCTTTCTCCCTGTTCAACAGTCAAACAAAACCCTATAAAACTCTGCCAAAACCCATAATATGTATTATTAACAAATCTTAAAAAACTTCGTTTCTATTTCAAGTGAACTAATCAGGCTACTATTTCAGTTATTCTGCCATTACTAAAACCATGTTGGGTAAAAAAAAATAACTACAGCAAAAGAACAGAAAACAAAACAGGATTATATGCACACACACGCATGCACATGAGATTTGCAAATAATTGATTGTATTGCATCAAATAAGAACCGCTATGAGTGACAACCCACCATTCTAATACATATTAGTAACATTAAAAAAAGAAGAAGATATCATCTTTTCTATATTCTCATAAATAGATGAAATATACAAAGATCCGTATAAAAGATGATATATCTACTCTACTCCATACATGAAGCATATGAATCATAATTCCATACCTCAACTCCAGAGAATACAAGAACGGAAAATTGTGGGGGATTGTGTGTGTGTGTGAGTGTGAAAGAGAGAGAGAGACCTGAGAAGGTGAAACGCTTTCGAGGAAATGAGATGGGAGAATAAGAGGAGAGAGATGGGGTTCCGAGTATACGAGAGTGAGGAAGAAAGGATGACCTAGGTTGTGGATGAGTCCTTGAGCAGAGTCCTAACCTCATAGGTAGATGCTTACTACTTACTATGATTAGATTAGGTAGGGTATCTAATGCCTACTCTAATGCTAGTGGAATATTTATCTTCCTGTCTAATCAAATTTCCATCACCAATTGTGTTTTGCATCGTGTCCACGGATACACCAAATTTATAATATTTTTTCATTGTCATCGTTGTCATTATCATTTTTTATACGATCTTATGATAAAGGATGTCATACACGTAACATTTTGAAAGAATTTCACCATAAAATTAAATTCTTAATTGGGAATTAATAAAAAAAATACCTATTTTCAACTTTAGATCGATTAATAGAAGTATAATCAACCTCGATATCAATATAACATTAACAAAAACCATACGTATAGGAAAATTCATAACATATAACAAGCAAATTAACAAATGTACTAATGTTTTTCAATGTCTTCAATTGTTAAACACGTGAAACTCTAAATGCAAAAATAAATATGTGTTGAATAAAATTCTAGATCGGCCTAACAAACCAAGATCAGTGATGCATTCACACCCACAACACACAAACAGTAAATTTGAATTGAGGCAATAAATAAGGTAATTGCATACCTCCCAAAAAAGCGAAGCAGAAGATCAAATAAAAGATTTTCCTATTAGAGAGAGATCGGTTAATTTGTTTTGTCGGTAAGTGAGAGAGATGTATACACTACACATTTAGAATTATCCAATAGTTTATAGGGTCTAAACATTAAACTGGTGCATGAGTTTTCATAACAACTGAAACAAGCAACAATGGGGAAGGCCTAAGGCTTCGACTTCTAACTCTTCAATGTCTTTCAACAAGCCACATCATGGCATATGAAATGGTTGCTATCGTTATTTTCCAAGATTGGTTCTATGTAATAAATATTTATTATTCACGGTTATTTGATCAAGAAGTGTATTGCCAAAAAAAATTCAAAAGGTGTAGGTATAGAATAGTAAACCAACAGTCAATAATCCACATAAAATTCACAATTACAACAAACATAGTATTAATGTTGCTATTATAACTCTAAAATGATGGTGTTAGTATTACATATTTTAATAAGCTTTTTATAGTCAATCAAAATTTTTTTACTTTTGTTGATATTTTATAATAGTATAGATATAGATATATACTATTAATATTATTTTTTTCAATTTTTTCTTATTTTACTTAATATAAGCAAATCCCTATGATTATTAGTGATACATACTTCATCCCATTAAAAGTTATTTTTAATTAGTAGTGTATCTTTATTGGTGATTTTATTTGTTATTATTATTTTCAATAAAGAAAATGTCATTATCATGTAATATATATATATATCTATACACTACTATAAAATGTCAACAAAAATGAAAAATTTTTAATTAACAATTATGTCCTTGTAAAAAAAATTAAAGTCAACTATTTCCTTATTTATTTAATTATCTATACCTTACTTAATCGCTCTAATGATTTCATATCTTTTCGTATTCTTACTTCCTAAAAAATTGATAGCACTGTCAATTAGTAATAGTACTATATAAGCATTGAGTTACTAGATATTATATTATCAATTAGAACTCTATTAAGCTTCCATCTTCCAATTGGAACACACCATTTTCTCTCTCTATCTCTCTAACTTTCACACGAATTGTTTGTGTTTGCGCTACATCAACAGGTATCAATTATCTTTATTCCCCATAACAATTCTTCTTGACTTGGGCGCATTGTCTGTTAATTGGATTCATTAGATTGATCTTAAAATTTTGGATGGAGTGCTTTTACTTGGATTCATCCTGTTTGTCCACTTAATTGTATTCATCTTCTTTTTGAAACCCAAATATGCCTATTTCTCTAGGTACTTCACGCAAATCTCAAAACTTGAAGCACCAGTAAAGGTTAAAAATCTCACTCTACTACATGCTCATGTCTATTTTTGCTGCTTATTCTTATGAATTTTGTTTAAGTTATGATTTTTTCTTATTATACATGTGCATGGCCCTCTGAAATGTGCATATGCTCTCACTAATAAACACACACAACTCCTTATGCAAAAATTTTATTTGAGGTACTCTTTAAAAACTCTGTAATATGTATTCATGACTTTGATAAGTTTTTATTTAACTAAAAATCAAGTATCTTTTAAGTATTAAACTCTTTAATAATGTTGCTCTGTGAGGTTCCTATCTATTCAATTTTTGTCCAGTTAGATAAATTTATAGTTGTAGATATATGTACCATGTACATACGAATAGATTAATGCATACATCTCCAAGTTGCGGTTAGAGTCTTAAGCATGGGTAATGCTTGAAGGATTTTGGATTTTTCATGTGAACTCATTATGTCATCACAATTAAATAAATCATTGATTAACTTAATTATGCTTCAAATTATTTTAAACAATATTTTAGATCTAATTTGTTGCAGCTCATCATCGTTAAGAGACGTGTCCACACATGACCTTAGTTACCTAGGAATTATTTGAAAACTTTGACGAATATCCAATTCTTTCATTTTCTAAGCCGAAAACAACAAGTTTAGGCATCAAAGCAACAATTTTGGCCATTTTTGAAGGCTTTTAAGAGTGGATAATAGAATGTGACTTCTTATGTGTTATAGGATAGGTGCAAAACAATCTCTTGAATCTTATTCCTATGCTAATTTTGTGAAGGGAAAATTCTTGATTCTAAACTCATCTCTTCATTGTTAGTATGCCTCTTAACAATAACATTCATAAGAGTCCTATAATTTAGCTTGCATTCTCATGGTTCTTCCCTATCAAACAAAAGACTATAAAGAATTGTTTATCACGCTTTGTGGATAAGGAATATGTTTGTCTCTTTCACTCAATTTTTGTTAAGTTCAAAAAAGAACATCAACTGATTGAGGCTAACAAACTGATTCAAGATGATTTAATTTAGGACAACTTCAGGTTGCCCATCGTTTTATTGAGTTTTGTGACAGTAAAATAGAAATTCTATAACATTTGCCAAAGAGAAAAGGAACGAGGGGAAGAATCGACGAGGAATCTATAACATAAAATCGTGAATGAAAAAGCGTGATAAGAATTCTCAACTCGAGATGTTAGAAGGTGCAAAATCAATGGGTGTCAGAGCTGCTACAAGTGTTTCAGCGGGAGCTGCTGTTGGTATTGGAAACGTCCTTAGTTCCTCGATTCATTCCGTGGTGCAAAATTCATCATTGGCTAAACAATCATTTGGTTATGCCATTTTGGGCTTTGCTCTAACCAAAGCTATCGCATTGTTTGCCCCAATAATGGCCTTTTTGATCTCATCTGTATTCCGATCGAAGGTTGAAGTTTCATTTTTACAACTATCTTTTTGAAGCAGATCACCTAAGGTTGTAGAAAGTGTAGAGGTTAGATAGGGAAATACATTTACCTAACACATAGTTTAAGGTGGAACAAATTACAAAAATTCAACCTATTGTATTTGACAAACACAAAAAATTACCAATTAAATCTTAGATCTTTTTTGAAAGTGAAACACATCTATAAAGTATTGACCATAAAAGTGCTAAGTGAGTTTTCTTAACAGTTTTGAGAAATTAGTTGAAGAATATTTAAATAAATTAGAGATTGATCAAGAAAAAAATATGTGATTCATGTGCAACGCACGTGTACATCAATTAATAAATATCAAATATAATAATCCTTAAATCATATGATGACATTAAATTTTTTTATAATTGAAAAAATATGAATTAATAATGTAGGAGACCACTTAATTAACCCATATGAGGGATGAGACTCTAATTAAAATTAATTTTTATAAGATTCTAAATTTAATCAATCACCCAATCATCTAGTGCGGGTTACGAGTCTCTCCTTGTGATAATACATTTTTTTACATTATTATCGTGACTCAAGATGGATTAAAGGATGTCCTTGAGTGACTAATTCTTAAGAAATGTAAAAAATAATTAACTTGAGACCCTCTAAATTAGTGAGTTTTCTAAGTTTGTCCAGTATATGCTCCTGCCTTTCATATTTCACAGTTGATAACACGTGGCACCCATTAACCTGGGCCTCATGTATAAGCTTTGAAAATAGCCCGCTAGAAACCGCAGGTTGGTCCAACAAAGGTCCATAAAGAAAGCCCGACATTTCCGGATCGAGATATACTCCGTTTCGCTTTTACCCAAGCAAATTCAAAACCTTTTATAATAGCAAAATTTTTAGAAAAATTAAGATGATTAAAATCGATCCAATAAATAACCTGCTACAAATTTGTTAGGACTGGTCCGATCCCAGTCAACAACCCAATTATCGAGCCCATGGTCCATGGAAGGTTGCCCGTGGACGTGTTGGCCCGACCATTCAGCCCGTTTTGGATTGTCCGAAATTATTCTGTTTTCAAAAAAATCGAAATAAATTAATTTTATAATATTTTAAATTATTTTAAGTTTCAATGTATTAGCATAATTATTTTAATATATTTTAAAATATTTTGGTATAATTCGACTAATATTTTTAAAAAATAATTTTTATATTTTATTTTTTATGCCACCGAAACAATGGAACGAATTAAAATTTTGATGCTTATCCACAACAGCAATTGGAACAAGTAACGGTCTAATAGTCTACATAATCCCAGGTCTCGGTTCATCCACAGAGAGAAAGAGAGAGAGAGAGTTCTGAGGCCACATCCACTGGATAAAGAGGATAATAGTTCAGAAAATCTGTTTCCACAAAAAATTAGACTTTTGTAAAGTTTCATGCCATTCACATCAACCTCCTCATCTCGCACTCTCTCCATATATTGTTATTGTAATTCACCTTTGCATTGTGATCCAGAAGAAACCTCTCTCTCTCTCCCTTTCTCCCTCTCGCTCTCTCGCAAAGATGCAGCCAAGTGCGGAAGCTAATCAACGCATTGCAAGAATCTCAGCTCATCTCCATCCTTCAAATGTCCAGGTCTGTCTTCTTCTATAAACAGAGGCTTTAGCTATTATCCAATGCTAATAATTGTCCATCGTACTTGTTATTTTTTATATATGTATTCTTATATAATTCTCTGTCGTTTCTGGGTTGTCTTTCCTTTTGGGTATTGTTGATAATCAAGTGTTTGGGCAATGATTGATGTTTTTGCTGAAGTTGAAGTTCTTGTGTTTCCTTTGTGTTCTGAAAGATGGAGGAAAGTTCCATTTTAGGAAGAACCAATTGTAGAGCAAAAGGAGGGGCACCTGGATTCAAAGTTGCCATATTGGGTGCTGCTGGAGGTATTGGCCAGCCTCTTGCAATGTTGATGAAGATGAATCCACTGGTTTCTGTTCTTCATCTCTATGATGTTGTTAATGCACCTGGTGTGACAGCTGATATTAGTCACATGGACACTGGTGCTGTGGTATATTTCTTCTCTCAATACTAATTTATTCTTCCATTCACTGAAATGTTGATCACTTGGTTGAAAAAATCGACCAATAGCTATACAATTCGACCAAGTCATATCCGGAATGACAATCCATTTTGAGACACATGCCCTTTTCATGCAAACCACAAGTTTCACTTGATTTGTGATTGACTCAGAGATGTCTCGGACCATCACAGCTGAGTCATTTGGAATCGCAGCGTGTCGGCTGATACCACCTTACGACGCTGCAACTTGATGATGGTTGATAGTGACTAAAGAATGGTTTTTTTGGTTTGTAGGTACGAGGTTTTCTAGGGCAGCCTCAGCTTGAAAGTGCTCTGGCAGGAATGGACCTTGTAATCATACCGGCTGGTGTTCCAAGGAAGCCAGGAATGACAAGGGATGACCTTTTCAACATCAATGCTGGAATTGTCAAGACACTGTGTGAAGGAATCGCAAAATGCTGCCCTAATGCGATTGTGAACCTTATTAGCAATCCGGTGAACTCTACAGTCCCAATTGCAGCTGAAGTTTTCAAGAAAGCTGGCACTTATGATCCAAAGAGGCTTTTGGGAGTCACAATGCTTGACGTTGTTAGAGCTAATACTTTTGTGGTATGCAATTATAAGTTGGTACTCCTAGTTTTTCTTCTGGTTACAAATAACTTGTCTGTACCCTCCCTTAAAATCGATAATGATGACCTATAGTCCAAAATTATTAACTCTTTGAAGTATATGATGGGAACACATGTGCCTTCCTATTCTATATGGATTCTTTTTGAGGTAAGTTCTATATAGGTTGTTATGCATAAAGTAAGTGTAACCATATCTTCCGCTCTCATAGGAGGATCCATATCTGTGGCCCCATACCCTGTTATGAAGTACTTTTGGCATGCAAAACCATTTACTTGTTAGTTCTGGGTGGACCTTTTGCAGTGTTAACTTCTTAATTTTCACGGGTCTTGAAGTCCTTGGATCCTACAACCATCTATTATGGTTCCTAACTCTCTCTAATTTATGAGCTATTGACTTGTGGCTATAGTGTTTGAGCAGAAAAACTGCAAAGAATCCCTATGTTTTTTTATCACAATAATTCTCGGTTATTTTGCTGTCATAGTGATGTATAACCTAAGGATTAAGTTCAAGGTTTTTGAACTTTCATGAGGTGATGACTCAACATATACTTGCTTAGGATTAAGTTCAAATTTTTTGAACTTCCATGAGGTGATGACACAACATATACTTGCTTAGATATGCCTCATGAATGCCTGATTAGCTTCAAAAATTGTGGGATTGCTTGATCATGTATTCTATGTTGCAGATGACAAAGTCATTACATATAGTGTTTTAAAGTCACCACTGATGTTAAATGTCTTTGCACCATCTTCTGCTGTTATCCTTACAGGCAGAAGTTCTGGGGCTTGATCCTAGAGAAGTTGATGTTCCGGTTGTTGGAGGTCATTCAGGAGTGACAATTTTGCCTCTGCTCTCACAGGTCTGACAAAGAATTCATATCAATTTATTAAAAAACTCACATTTAAAGCACTGCCTCCAATCACTTAGTTGTAATTTATAACATATTGTAAGCAAGCAGCCAATATGGTGTCCCTCTGCAGGTTAAGCCTCCTTGCAGCTTCACACCAGAAGAAACGGAATACCTTACAAAACGCATTCAAGATGGTGGAACAGAAGTCGTTCAGGTAAAAGTCGCTTATGATCTCCCAAATTGCATGTAGTGTTCCAAAACAGGAAACTAACTCAACCAGGCTGGACTAGTAAGTAAAAGTTCACCAATTCCATTTCTGGGGAAGATTTGGAATCGTATTGAGTAGCAATTAACATACATTTTCACTGATTATCTGCCTAGATGCTCATATTTTCCAATTGGTAGATCACTTAGTTAAGGGACTGTGAGTGAAAGTTACTCACTTCATTTGCAGGCAAAAGCTGGGGCTGGCTCTGCAACACTATCAATGGTTAGTTTAGATTTTTGTTCACTTGTTAAGTTTTTAACATAAAATTCTACTTCTTCTGGCTTAATGTGTGACCTCAATAAACCAAAATATAAGTTACCCGTAAACTTTAATATATAGGCGTATGCAGCAGTTAAATTTGCGGATACATGCCTCCGTGGCTTGAGAGGAGATGCTGGCATTGTGGAATGTGCTTTCGTAGCTTCTCAGGTAATTCCCCAAACCTTCATTACGCGCTAAAATCGCCCCGCCTCCAATTTGTTCCATAAGACTTTCTGACCAATACTCATTGTTTTTGTAGGTCACAGAACTCCCTTTCTTTGCATCCAAGGTAAGACTTGGCCGTACTGGAGCTGAGGAAGTCTACCAACTTGGGCCCATGAATGAGTATGAGAGGTATGACATAACCAATCGTTTTGAACAAAATATATAACCAGCACACAGTTTTCTCTTTACTCACTAGAAAACTCTGAACAGGGTTGGATTGGAGAAAGCAAAGAACGAGTTAGCAGAAAGCATTCAGAAGGGAATTTCCTTTATCAAGAAATAGAAAAGATGAGCTCTATGACTACTAATCTTATTAAGGTCTTTCTATATTTTGTTCTCCTGATTAATCTTCCTCAAAATATTGCTCTCCTGTAATGCCTAAAAAAGATATACTACCTTGAATTTATGTTAACATTGGTTGATACAAAATCATACAATAATTAAGTGCTCTTCATATGTTCCATGGAAACTAAACAAGGTCACTTTCTGCAAGACATAGAAGCATCAACTCTCTCAGCAAAATTGAAATGGTAACATCTGTTGAAACTTTTAAACGAGTCCCTCCTAAGGTTTATAGTCTCGATTTTCTGAATGACCCTTGTCAGAATTTTGTGAAATCAATATCTAATTTATACAATTGTATTTGAGACAGCCAAAAGGATAAAGACAGAAAACATGAAAAAAAAAAAGGGAAAAAATCAATGTCAAAGAATAGTGAACATCACAGGCTAACCAAACTCTTTTCATAATCTCATTTCACTAGTTTTTATAGCGAAAACTTCTTTCACCATCTGATATACATGGTTGCGTAACAATTTTTAAGAGAAACAAAAAAAACTTTACACTTTGCTCAGCTTCAACAAAACCACACCAAAATTCACAGCATGAATGGATTGGGCGGAGGATGAACAATAGGGGTCGTAGACATAGTCATGTTCCCCAGGAGCATGTTCGGCGACACTGTATCCTCCACAATAACAGGATTAACCTGCATCACTCTCTCGGGCACAACCTTGTCCCCCTCGACCTTGGCCAATACCTCAAAATGCATCCTCATACTCTCCGGCTTTGTCCTCCATTCTGGAAATCCCTCCCAATCAAATCCATCTCCTTCTTTCAACTTCTTCTCCACCCCAAAACCAATCTTCACAGAAGTCTGAGCGGATACATCTGCCTTCAACAGCTTGAAAGAACCCTCCTTATTAGCTTTTGGACCGAGCACTGAAGAGAGCAGCGCCTCAAAACCAAGCAAGTTAGAATTTGAGCCATTGATGGAAGCCAGAGGCCAAAATGCAGTGAATCGGTCTGGAGTTAATAGGGCGGTTGCTTCTCCTTCAAGATCAACAGTGGGTACAGCTTCAACAGATTTTGTTTTTGACGCTGAATACAGCTCCACTAAGCCTGGAGCAAGGCGCTTAAGCTTGAGCTTATTATTTGAAGACGTTGATGACGAGGTAGGGGATGCCAGAGATGTAGGACCAACAATACGTAAGGAGAGAAGTGGGGCCTCCTGGGCACGGCAAGCATGGCGTAGACGATCTGCAAGAGTTAGAAGACCTGAGGCAAAACCATTCTGAGTTCGGTTCAAGGGAAGTGGGAGCTCAATTGGATGACGCAGGCTAACTGACCTAGCACCCTTGACAGTAACCACCGCACCATCTGCTAAGATTATTTTCTTCAGCACACCCGCATCTACATCATGCTGCATATTTCCACAAGAAATCAAAAATCAATCATCCAATCACTCTGATGATATTGGATTCTAAAAAGTGATGTGAACCACGAAAACCAGCTATCAAAATCAGGGACAAAAATATTCACTTCCACAATGAGGATATTATTAAATTTCTAGGTTTGATGAAATTTTGAGGAACATACTTTACAACATTTATTGAGAAATCAGACATAATCATGTGTCAACTGCTAAAAAAAAAAAAAAAACATTGCTGTTTATTGAACAATTCAAGAACTGTTAATGATCTAACAAACTAGATAACACAAGAAGCACCCTATAAGAGCATTTAGATACCAACATTTCAAACTGGGATCTCATTTCCAACTACCAGTAAGTGTGAAATGAAATCAGAACATCACCTTCAAGGTTTTTTTACAAACCCTCTTCGACAAAATGATGAAATAAAAGGGAATGCTAAAACAAGGAAGCATTTTCAGTCATTTAATTCCCAGTTCCAGAAAACAACAACTCAACGTTCAAGGCATTCAACCTTGCCACTCAATCTCAAATTCAGCTTTACAACATATTAACATATAGGAGGGATAGCCTTAGAACAGTAATAAGATTGATCTATTATGACATGAGACCGTCAAGTGTTTGAGTTGCTGAAAGCCTGAAACAACCTAAACCCCGCACTGGCGTGAACCTTATGCACTAGACTGCTCTTTTGTTTTGACATATTAACATATGAATTGAAAACAAAATTTTGAGGTAACACAAGGCAAACAAACGAATTCTTAACAGAATTTGAACAAAACAACGTCAAAAAGAGAACTGACCGGCAGTGAAAGCCTCATGTCCTTGGCATCCTGAATCCAAAGCTCCATCGGACCCGCCAACTGAAACGGAGCCAAAACCGGCAACCCGCTATCCAATTTCTGCCTCTCAATCAACCCATTCTCCTCACCAGCCTCACCGGATCCTCCACACGAAAAATCGGCAAATCCACATACTCCCATCTATTCACATCCTCCAAAAGCTTAAACGGAAGAACTTTATTATCAATCTCAACATCAAATTCGTAAGCCACAGATCGTCCCACCAACGCGTCCCTCAAATCAAACCCAGATACCTTCACATCATCCGCTTGAAAACCCTAATCCTTTCACAATCGCTTCCTTCAAATCCTACAACACACAGACACAAAAACCACAAATTAAAAATCTGAACAGATTTCTCCGAAAAAAATCGAATGGGAATTGAATAGAGAGAATGGACTTACAGAGATGGCTTTAGGGTAGGGAGGATTGAGGTCCGGGGTGGCGATCAGAGCCGTCGATGGTAATGATTGGACGGTGAGCAGAACTAAAAAAATTGCTACGAAATTAATCGATATTAATCTCAATGCCATCGGAGATTGATTTTGGGGTCGCCTGAATTCGAGGAGAGGAGATCCGGCCTGTTTCAATCGGAAATTCGATGGAAAAAAATTTATACTGAAGGGGGAAGAAAAGGTTGGGGCTGGGTTTAAGAATTGGGGGAACTATATTGTATGAAAAAAAAAAATTATATTTTGACCTCCCCAATTATCGATTTAATTTCACTTTGCCCTTTAAATATCAAATTTATCCAATTACTCCCTTAACTACTTGAATTTATTTTACACTGTACTAAAACCAAATATTTAACATGTTTTAGACAGAAAATATTCAAATGTATAATAAAATATATGTTTTTTGATGTGTGTATGATTGAAATAGTGTAAAAGAGTAATGATAAACTGACAAAAAAAAAAAAAGACTAAAAA